CCCCCACAGACGTCCCACTGCACCCCCACAAAGTAGAAAACTGATGAGCAGGCACGTAATTTAGCTAATTTAGTACTAATTAGCTAGAAATGGTTCCAAATAAAGAGATACATAACAAGTAAGCAAATTTTCTCTATGTGTTTTGAATACAAACATACCTCTGAGCCACCTAATTTGGAAAACACATAAGCCATACTTACTTCAAGACCCGTAAAATCAGTAATGTCTCTTTTATTCAGCGACATGTTCTCCTGAACAACTTTCTGTTGTTTCACATTGAGCATTGCAAGGAATTCCAAGCACTGCTGATTCAGGACTACAAAATAAATAAAAGAGATTAGAGAAATCTGCTGCTCTGATTTCTTAATTTCTGAGTTTAACTGCAGCCAAAGGAAGGTATTCTATAGCTCAAGCATCAGTCTGGGAACATGATGAGACAATGTACAAAATCATATTCCAGTTGGTTTACCCTCTGTGTTTTCCCAGAAATTCTGACCCACTTAGACACCATTTCATGTATTACTGGGCCTCAGGTGTGAGGGCTCATCTCAGTGCACACTCACAAGTCAGGCAGCTGCTCTGTTAGAACACTGGGGAAATAATTATATAAATCAGCTATTTTAAAGCTTTTTGGGAGGCAAAAAGAAGGGAAAAGGACTGGAGGCCTCTGACCCAGTGGCTGCTGTTACATCCTGTCCAGTTTAAAGAGGGATTCTGCATATCCACTGAGATCAGGTGCCACTAAAAACACACTTCTCCCCACAAGAAGCTTCCTTCATAGCTAAATCATTAACTCCTGAGAAACAGTACATCAAGAAGAAGAGCTGTTGGTGGCTTACTTGCATTTTCCGCTTTAAGTGTTTTAATTTCTTCTGTCTTCAGTTTCAATGCTTCCTTAAAAGCTGCATTCTCACAGTATATCCTGCAGAAGTTAGAAAAAAAGGCTTTATTACCTTGTAAAAAACCCCAAACTTTAAAATGGGCACTCAAATAATTTCAGAGACCAGTCCCATTAAAACATCGTATCTAATATTTCTGCAAATTAAAATCAGGATTACTGAAAAGATGGAAGAAAAAAATAAAAAGTGAGAGGAGTTGAGTATTTGGTTTGACAAGTTTTTACCTACAGAAAACTGTACCAGTAGTTTTCTCACTCGTAGTATTTTTCACGGAAAAAAATGGCAATATTTTCCTGTAAGAATATCTGCACCAACAATCTGTAGTATGTGGTTAGAAGCAAATCTGGTAGCCAAAAAGCACCCTGACAGTCCTCCTGGGCTGGGCTAATACATCAGGTTACACCAGAGTGTGTAACCTGCTCACCCCTCGCTGTGCAGGGGAGGGAGCAGAACCAGGAATCTCCACACTCACACCGAGGTTTCTCAGATGCCACAGGCTGTTCAAACAGGCTCACCTTGCCCATGAAACCACACCCTCACACAGCCAATTTAATCCAGGTGTGTTCAAGTGAATGTTAAAACAATTCATGTGTTAAGTAGACAGTGCCAACAGCTTCTGAGTTTAGGAAGAGATAGGTTTAGGTGCCTGTTCTCCTTGGAAACTCAAAGAAAGCAGTAATTATGAACCTCTGAAACACTTGCTAGAAGTCTCCTACCTCCCTGGAAGAGCCAAACTGATACTGGACATGTGACAGCTCAGCTCTACAAACTTCCTGCAGTTTGTACCCTGTTTTCAAGAAGAGCTGTGCCTTCAGGGCTTGCAACCTGAGCAGACACAGTATGCACTGATAATGCATTTTTCTGTGAAGTATTTTAGCATTTCCCTCTTGAACAGAGCACCGGCATCTGAAGACCTAAACATCAAAGCAGTGCAATTTCTCTGGAGCATCTCCTCAGCTGTCAGTAAATGAATGGCCTTGTTCAAAACTAAATAGTCTGAATTATTTCACCTGAAAAAAAAAAAAAGGAAATACACATTGTTCTCATCTTGCTGTCTCAAATATAAGAAAACCATTTTGGAAAGCAGGCTGAGCCCCTGGCTTTCAGTTTTCTGAAGTTAAGTCTCTTTTTTGACAGTCAGCACCAGTTTTGTTGTTCCAAACTGTGCGTCTACACTTCCAGCCTCCTCAGTCAGGAAAGGCAAAGGCTTTTTCAAGAGGCATCCCTTGACAAGTGTAAGTAAGTCAACAAAAGAAAAGTTTGCAAGCTCTTGGCTTATTTCTGGATTCTAATTTGAAATATTTTAAATAAAAATATATGCTGAATAATAATAACATCAGCAATAAGGATAAGAGACTAATGACAATAACAGCTCTGATGGTGAGACTCCAGAGATATAATTTCTACTTTCACATAAGTGAGTCTGCTGGTCACATTTTTCAGAGTCTGTTACACATTATTAGTTTAGTGCCTCTGGCACATTCTTGCCCAACCACACCTGTCCACCCAGAGTGGCTTTTAATTAAACAAAGAACCAGTTGATCAGCCTCTCTCAAAATCCTTCCATTTTACCTGCACTTATGCTCCAATCTACAGTGAAAGAAAATAAAGCAATGATTAACCAGGAAATGATATTTCCACATGCAGGCACACCCCATTTTTTTCTATGCTCATTTACATTGAAGGTAAATAAGGATAATCTGCCTCCAGCTGGCTGATGTAATGGGATGAAAACGAAAGCTCAGCTTAGCAAACCCAGTCTGCAGACAAGCTAAATAATCAAGACACCAATTTTAGTAGTTTTAACTGAAAAGTACAAATGTGACTAGCACAAAAATAAAATCTTCCAAAATTTGGGAGAGAATTAGGAACTGAAAACCTGATAAAACAAGTTTGGAATACAAAAAAAAAAAAAAGATGACATACATCATTCAATGAAATTAAAAATGAAAACAAAAAGACTCAAAGATAAACAGTGCAAGTAAAATACCTGTCATATTTTTCTGTCCACGTGTCTTCTATGTTTTTAAATCTATCCTGATCAAATTCAATTTCCCATTGCAAAATATTTATTTCCTGTGGAAAAAAACAAACCTGCTGCAGCACATTACAGGCCTCCCAAAGAAAGGAAGAAGAGAGATCTAACTGACCAGTGAGGCTGACAATCTGTGATGGTGTTAATAACAAAACTGGTGCCAGACGCTGAAGTTTCTGCATCACTGTCCTATGGATCCCAGACTGTGCGACAGGAGGACTGTGTTAATGCTTCCAGTGGGTTGCAACAAAAACAAAGTGTCGTGGTTTTGCACTGGGTCAATTTGCTCTCACCCCCCACAGGATCACTTGTAAGTTGAGAGAAGGTTTATGCAGACAAAAGAGACTGGATTAATTAATTGTACATTAATGTTTTCCCATTCTACTGAAAAGTAATAAGAACACTTTCCTAAAAGCTCTGGAATTAATGGCAGGTTTGCACTGATTTAAATGAACAGTCTGTTAATCCCTTTTTGACAGCCATGGGCTCCCATGTGTAAAGGATACACACCCTTACCTTCTCTAAAGTCCTCTTTTCTTCCTCAGTTTTTTGAAGCATTGCTTTTGTATGACTAGTGGCTTTATTAAATACTGCCTAAAAAAAAAAAAACAGAGAGAGGAAAAAACCTCACAATTCCGTCAAATACTGTCATTAAGTTCACTTAATTTGGCTTTAGAGTGATGTTCACTCTTACACACAGAGAAATTCACACTGTTCATTAAACAGGAGTGTGCAGAACCACAAACGTTGCAACTTGCTTGTAAGCCCCAGTGGGCTCTGATTTCAAGTCACCAAGCTGCACAACTTGTGTTTCAATCCCAGAATCCCTCCTATTGAAAAATGCAGCACAGTTTAACAGGAGATCATGTTCTGCTTCAGGGCTTGTCCAGAAAACCACATCTTAGAACACCTGGTTACAGCACAGTGAAGCCGTTGATCCAGGTGTAACTGCCTGCAAACGTCCGAGGGCAGAAACTGCTCAGCTATAAATGGGTTATGCAAGGGAGGCAGAAAAGCAGGAACTGACTTCACCAGAGTTCATTATGACAGCGAACACCAGAACTGTTGCAGACTGCGAGCAAAAGAAATCTAACCCACACTGCCCTCTAGGACAACAGACGGGGGAGTAACTGAAAACACCTGTGACCTGCAGAAGGATTTCAGGCACTGGCAAAATCTATCACATCAGGGACTCAGAAAAGGGCCTTATTTTTACGTTAAATAGATAAATCCTGAAGGATCCTCAGAGATAAAATTGTGAGAATTGCTACAACAGTAAAGTTTTCTTCAATAACCACATTAGATCTATGGAGAAAAAGCAGTACATTGTAGAAGCCATGTCTGCAGACACCTTCAGACTCAGAGTTTTAAACTGCAGTGCTGGGAAGACCTCATGGTTTGTGAGGTTTTGATGAGGAACAGCAGGAAGGTTTTCTCATTTCCCTTCCATTACCACTAAGTGCCAAACAATTTCTGAACAGCTCCTACCATGCTCTGCAAGATTCTCAGGGCTTCATCTTTTCCTTCAAGCTGCCTTTGACACGCTTCAAGCTCAACTTTCAAAATTTCAGCTTCCTGAAGCAAAACAGAACAGGGACACTGAGTACAGGCCGAGGTAATTCTGCTGATTCAACTGTAGCAGCAACGTGAATTTGCCCTCTTCTGTTTTACCCCCTTGACTTCTTTTCAGGGTCTACCCTGAGGTTAGAGAACACAGAGCAGATGAACTGTGTATTTTCACAGCTGAGGTCAGCTGGCTGTGATGCCAACACACCAGCACATTTAACCACAGCGACCCCAAAATGCAGGAGGTAACCACCTCTCAACAAAAATGCAGGCTAAAAAGCCAAAGACTGTTTACATTGCGGATTTTCAGGCCCCAAAGCTTAATAAAAAAATAACACCTGATGAAGTAGTATATTACTTTCGGTGTTCTCTAGTTCTTTCAAAATACTTAACCCACCCCTCAAAAAAAAAAAAAAAAAAAAAAAAAACAAAACAAATACACCCAACAAACCCCCAGAGTACAAACAGCACCTCACACTGTGATTTCCTGCTGTAAAATTTAATGAAGCTTCCAACTACCCCTCTAATCTCAAGAGCCTGGATCTATGCCAAGATCCATGCCCTGGCCATGCCAAATCCTCTTACTACATTAAAAGAAAATGCAGATTTGGGGAGCAGCACCCCTGGCACTGTTACCAACCTCTAGAGCTTCCTGAAGTCGTTGCTTTAGTTCTTCATTGGACATTTCAGTATTAGATTCTGTAGGATTAATAGGACATACTGAATGATGAGATACTACAATATCTTACGGAAAAAAAATGAGAATTTGCTTTAACCTGGAAACAAATAAAATGCAGAGCTGAATTTTCATCTTTTTGGTTTGCTTTTTGGTTTTTTTTGGTTTTTTTTCTTCTGGAGCTAATAAACAGATTTAAGAAATACATAAATACTAATTTCAAACACAGTGCTCACAGCTAAAGAAGTGAAATAGGGGAGAAAGGTCAGTGGTAAAGAGAGAAGATAAGGACAAATATTTTATACTTTTCTTTGAAAAAATAATAGAAAAAATCCATCTTGATTTAAAAGATAATTTAAATTTTTAGATTACTTTAAGATTGTATCTTTTCAACAACCACAGTCAATGCAACAGTGGCTGGCACTATTTAGAAGCAGGGGCAGTTTTAAGACAGCTCAGCTTATTGTGGCATGTAGATAGTGGGGAATTGTTCTGAAGGAGAGAAATAAGCAAGTGATGCAGAAATACCTCAGTCAAAACTCTAAAAATGTAAAGGAAAGCAGCTGAAGTGTAATGAACAGCACTGTCTACACCTGATGGTATTTACAGCAGCGCTGCCTTCACAAAGAAAAAGATGAATGCCCATACAGGTTCTGAAAAGAACTTTTTAACCCAAAAGGAAGCCAATTCACAAATTTCACCTAAATAGCAAATGAGATTTTTGAATATTTAGCCACAAACTCTAGATACGATACATGAGAAGACTTAAAGTTACTTAAACAAAGCAGGAATCCAAGCAACTCCATTCAATTTCGTGCATGTATGTAGAGATACACCCACCACAGGACGCTCTTTGCTAAATGCCACCTTAAAAAGCAAAACCAAGCACTTTAAACACGGGTGTTTTACACTGAGAAGGGCCAGAGCCTTGATCACTGAAAAGCAATTGTGCTGTAACGTCCTGGGAGGAAGGTGGAGGTTCCCAGCAGGCACAGGATGCACAGGCATTTACTGGAATCCTTCATGGATTTTGGCAAATGGTTCATTAAACTTGATGACAATTTGCGAAGCAGCTGAACGGCTCAGCTTTTCTAACACAGGTTTTTCCCCGGTGAATAATTAACTTCCCAATTACTCTTACCACAGCTGTTCTGTCTCGTGGAACTTGCAGCAGGTTTTCTGAGTGATCCATCATAAAAAGTATTTCCTTTTAGACCAGGAAGAGCTGCAGCATCACTTTCTTCCGTTCCCTTTGCTGACAAAAGGGAATTACAAGCCTTTCGAGATCCTTTCCTGGATCTAATGGAATAGGGATTTTGTAAGTTTTCCCCTTCATAAACACCTCCGGGTCGTCTCCCGAGGCCGTTTCCCAAGTCTCCACATGTCATGTCATCCTCCTCTCCTTCCTCCATCTTCTCCTCCTGGTTTCGCGTTTTTGTTCCTTTTTTTTTTCCCCTTTCCTGATCGAGGGCGCTTCACCACGGCCAATGCCAGCAGCGCCTCTCGACTGGTTTATCTAGAAGGAAAGGAACAGCGTTTCTCTAAAGCAGCAGCTCAACGCTGAAGTGCGAAACACCGAGCCGTCGGTGCGCGGCCGCTCCCCCGGCGGGTCGGGGCTGCCAAAACCATCGCTCCCACCCCTCGGGGGGACCCGGGGCTGGGGCAGCGCCCCGCTGAGCCCCCCCGAGCCCCCCGGCCCCGTTCCCCTCCCGGAGCACCCCTGGATCGCCCCCCGCACCCACCTGCGCGCCGGGACGGGGCGATGCCGGTCCCGCCCCGGGGCGGGATGGACGGAGCGGCACCGAAGCCGCATCCGGAGCGCGGCGGAAGGTGGGGCTGGTTCTTCTCGCCTTTTAATAGAGGTCCATGTTCCCCCTGCAGCTCCCGCCCCACCGCAGCCCCGAGAGGCGGTCAGGCAGCTCTCGCAAACTCGACCTGAGGTGACCTGATGCGGTCACTCCAGGCGCTCTCAAGAACTGGGGTTTTTCTCTCCACCTGCTCCCTACTGCCGTCCGAGATCAAAGCACTCTGCCTGTGTTTCCTCAGTGCTTTTTCTCTGTCAGGTTCTGCCAGAAAACTCCAGATTTATGACCATTCTAGTTTATAATACCAAGTTGCTGATGCAGTATTCCTCTGTGAGTCCCACTCAAAAACCCTATACCAAATCTGCAATAATCCTAAATACCTAACAATAATAGTATTTACAACAGAAAACTTAAAGAAAGTGGTTTTACATCATTTTATATCATGTATATTAAGAGTTTATTAGCAAACACTTCCTTAAGAACCTTTCCAAGCAGGGTTTTCAGTGCAGGAAGGTTTTATCTGCCCTGCCCTGCTGGGACCCAGGCTGTACAAGCAATTAGAACAGATGGCTGCCAGTGTTTTAATTGTAGCCACGTCCTGGGTCTGCCCAGGTTTATCCTGCCCAGGGATGTATCTCCTGGGTAAACCTGCAGTGATGTGTGTGTTCCACTACGGGGATGGGTGACGGGGAGTACAGAAAGAAGAAAAGAAAGCTTATTGCTCCTCATTGTTCAGCATTCCACACCAGTGCTGATACAGCCCATGTGTCCTTACCCACGAAGGAATTCCCAAAGTTCTGTGAATCGTTTTAAAGTAACTCACCACATCACTTCCCTCCTGAACCTGAACCACCCCCCTGTTCGGCATCAGCCTCACACCCAAGGACACAGTGGGCTACAGTTTCCAGTCTCACAACTCAGCTTTAGATTAACCCCTTTTCAGGATACTGTTGCACCTCTAGAAATCCAAAGTGCCACCAGTTATCAGGATGTTACAGTTCTCCTGGGGTGAGTTCACGGCTGGGTTTTAATTGTGAGGTCGGAAGAGTTCTCGATTATTGAACACAGCTCCTCTACCGAGAAATGCAGTGCCATTTTCATCCTTCCATTCACTTGTGTGGGTTCTCCTGTGTGTGTCTCCCAGGGGGCTTCAGAGGCTGTTCCAAACCCTCAGAAATTTGGCTGTTCTAAACCTTTTTCTACTCCCCAACCACATCCAATTACAGTAAAATTCACGGTAACTTATACAAAAATTGCAAATGTCATTTATTGAACCCTCCCAGGAAGAGATCCAGCAGTCACTGTTTCACCCAGAGTCAGTTGTTGTCCTTCATCCACTGCTCAATCCATTGCATGATCTGATCCAAGTTTCTCTCCAGGTCCTCTGGAGTGTTGCTGGGTAACTGGTGCACGATTTCCTTTTTGTATGATGACACAGCTTCCTCGTACAGAGTCTGGAAAATCTCACACTGAATGTTGTCTTGCAGCTTCTTCCCTGTGTAGCCCCTGGAAAATGAGAGCACCAAGGGAGATGTGCAGAAGCATTGGAGAATCAGTGATTTATACCCTGACACAGCCCCCCTCTGCCCTGGCCTGCCCCCACACACCTGCTCTGCAGCCTGTCGTACAGGAAGGAGTTCTCCGTGCGCAGCACGAACACGATGTGGAACCAGCGCTCGGGGAAGAAGTCGCAGCCGTGGTAATCCACCACCACCCCTCCCTCGCCCATCCTCTCCTCCAGCTCATCGATCACCTGCCAGGAGACGCACACAGCAGGTCCCCCTGGGCTGCAGGAGGGCCAGCTACAGGGGGTGGGGGGCTCAGGGCAGGGACTCACCCTGTCCTCGTCCAGGATGGGACAATCGTACTCCTCGTCAAAGCCCTCGTACAGCTGCCCTGCGGCACAAAGGGCAGGGCAGGTTGGGGCAGAGCCACCCCTGCCCACGGGGACGGCAGGGCAGGTTGGGGCAGATCCACCCCTGCCCACAGGGGTCCCATTGCACACAAAAGGCACAGCTCGGGGGAGGGAACACTGGGGTTACACAGCTGTGCAAGGGTAAGGTTGTTATTTGTCACTGAACACCAAGGGTCCTGCTGCAGAAACTCCTGCGAGAGAAAATTCATTGCCTTTTGATTTAATATATAGAAGCCCAGAACGGTTTGTGCTGGGAGGAGTCTCAAGGCTCATCTCATTCCAGTCCCCTGCCATGGGCAGGGACACCTCCCACCAGCCCAGGATGCTCCAAGCCCCGTCCAACCTGGCCTTGGACACTTCCAGGGATCCAGGGGCAGCCACAGCTTCCCTGGGCAGCCTGTGCCAGGGCCTCACCACCCTCACAGGGAGCGATTCTAACCCTGCCCTCAGGCAGTGGAAAGCTATTTTTCTTTATCCTTCATTCCATTCCTTGTCCATGTCCTCCTCCAGCATTTCTGGAGCCACTCTGGGCCCTGGAAGGGGCTCTGGGGTGTTCCCAGAGCCTTCCCTTCTCCAGGCAGCACCACCCCAGCTCTCCCACCACAAGCAGAGAGTTGCAGGGAGCAAAGAATCCTCTGTCTCCAGCACCTTCCTTGGCCAGGTCCCCCACGTTGACATAGCTCAGCCCTGCTCTGGATGCCAGCTCCTTTCCCAGGGTGGTTTTCCCAACGCCCGGAGTGCCTGGAGACCAAAACCACAAGACAGGGTGAGGGAGGAGGTGCAGGACCCCCAACACCCTCCCAGGGGGGGAACTGGGGCTTTTGGCCAGTGGGGGGGTCATGTGAGGGAAAAGGGCCCAAAGCTGCACCCCAAAGAGAACCAGGGAGGGCAACGCCGGAGAGGGAAACGGGAAACCAGGGAGAGAAACCTCACCGTGAGCAGGACGGTTACCCACACCGGGGGGGGGGGGGGGGGGGGGGGGGGGGGGGGGGGGGGGGGGGGGGGGGGGGGGGGGGGGGGGGGGAGGGGAGGGGAGCGTCCCGAGTTCTCGGGCAGGTGTGACACCCCAAATCCTCCCACGTCGGGACACCACACCCAAAATCACCCCGACTGAGACCCCAGACCCCAAAGCAAGCCGAGCTGGGACCCCACACCTCAAATTACCGCAGGCTGGGCCCCAGACCCCAAACCACCCCGGGATGGGCCCCCAGTGACCCCAAGCTGTGCTGGGGCTGCGGTCCCACGGCCCGGCCCGGCCCGGCCCAGCTCCCCGCCCCGTCCTACCGGTGATCAGCACGTTCGGCCGCCTCATGGCGGTGCTGTCGCCCTGGAGACACGTGCGGGGGCCTCCGCCGCCCCGGCGCGCGCCGATGGCGTCACCGCTCGGGCCGGCACGGCGCGGGCAGCCCGGCGACGGCCGGAGGAGAAGGACCCCTGGAGGGCCACGGGTGAGGGTACCGGGACCGGCAGAGGGGACGGGGACACCGAGAGACACCGAGAGACACCGCGGGACACCGAGAGACACCGCGGGACACCGAGAGACCCCCAGACTCCGAGGGAAGCTCCGCGAGTGCCGCCGCCCGGCGGGGGCAGGGGCTCCCCGGTGCCCCCCGTGCCCCCGCCCAGCATGTCCGGCCGCGCCTCGGGGCGGCGGGCCGAGGTGGGTCCCGGGCCGAGGTGGGTCCCGGTCGGGGCTCTCGCTCGGACCGTTCCTGCCCGGGCTCGGCGTGGGCGCCAGGGATTATTTGTACCCAGGGTAACGCTGGGGTCTGTGTGTGGGGAGGGACCCCCTCGCTCCCGGCGTCGCGGATAAATGTGCAGATTCCGCCCCAGACGGCTTTGTGCCGATCATGGCCCCCTGGAGCTCCCGGGTGCTGAGGGGTCCCGGGCACGGCGGGGGCTTCACACAGAGCTCCCCAGAGGAGCTCCCGTGGAGCACAAGGTGCAAAAAGGGTCCCCAACACCCCCAAAGCCCTCCTCCCAGAGCAGGCTAGGGGCGGCTGGGTCCCGTCCCAGCCCCACACCTGGACAGTCAGTCAGGTGTGTCCAGGCTGTGCCAGCTCCGCAGCTCTGGAGGAGTTGTCAGTGGTGTCACTTGTTTGTTCCTTTGCCCAGGGATTGTCCCAGCTCTACCACATCTTCCCCTCCCTCTCAGGATGTTTCCCTTTGGGGTTGATGAGCCAGGCTGGTTTCAGCTCTGTTCAACCCAGAAACAGCCCGACACCCCTTCCTCATTCCCCACTGGGGCCTTGCAAACAGGGCCTTGTTGGAGTTGTTTTACCCCATTCCAGGCAGAGCATCCTGGCACCCCTGGCTCTTGCTGTGTTGGTTGACGAGATGTGTAAAGTGTGGTTTCCCAGCCCTTTTGGGGACTCTGGGGGCTCTGTTGCCATCCAGCCTGTCTCAGCCCTGCACTGAGGGGCTGCCAGTGACTCCTGTTATGGTATTTGGGACCTTTGAGAAGTGTACCCTTATTCCAGCTGGGAGCTCCTCAAACCCCAAATTCAGTGCTGAGTGGTTCCTTGTTGCTGTCTCAGGCTCTGGCACAGTCACAGCTCAGCCCAGGCTGTCCCATGCAGCAAACAGGAAACAATCCCTGAGTTTATTGTGCTGCCACCTGTTCTCTGCCATCTGCTTCCAACTTTGAATCACAAATGCCTGCACTGTAAGTGTTAAAGAAGAAGAGGCAAAAAAAGAGCCCCATACTGAAAACATGAACATGACCTTAATGTAAACATAGCCTGAGTAAGCTGATGCTGCTTCTTCATTCTTACCCTCGATTTAATTTTACTTCTTTAGTTTGGTATGTTTGTGGAATTTTCTACTTGTTCTGACTTGACAATTTGCAGAATACTCTTGGCACATGTGAGGGGAGGCTTTATTTTAATAGTGGAGAATCTCAGAATCCCAGAATGGTTTGGTTTGAAAATTCTTAAAGCCCATCCAGTCCCATCCCCTGCCATGGGCTGGGACACCTTCCACTACCCCAGGTTGCTCCAAGCTGGCCTTGGACACTTCCAGGGATGGACAAGGGTACACTGGATTAAAAGCTGCCATTTGTAGGGATCCCCAGATGAGGGGAGGAGGTGCTGCTCCAAGCCCACGGTGTGTCTGTGTTCTCCAGGTAGCAGAGTGGCTGGCGCATCCCTTCGATGACTTCGTTGGAAGCTCCGGTGCTCCTGTGAAGGCCCTGGGAGGCAGCTCCGGGAGAGGCCGGAGGCAGCAGCAGAAGGACCTGAGTTCTGGGCCAGAAAACAGCAAAGCCAGGGCTCCTCCCAGGAAAAGGGCAAAGCCCTCTGTGGTGGATCTGCCCTGTAACACGTCCAGGCAGAGCTGGAGCCAGGCCCAGGATGAGCTGCCGTGGGTGGAGAGATACAAACCTGAGACTCAGGTGGGGCTTGCTCTGAGTGCTAACGCAGTAGTAACATTATAGTAACATGCAGTGCTTCTGTCCATGATTTATAGTGGTCAGGCTCCCAGAACATCATATTTTGCCACAGCAAAAAGGTGCTGGTCTGGTTTGTTCACTGCCAGGAGCTCTTTGTGTATATTAAACACATTTCCCTCAGGCCTCCTGAGGAGGTAAAAGCTGCTGATGAGATGTTGTTTCCTGTCAGTCCACATGTAACTTCTGAAACTGTTCCTGGGTTCCAGCCACATCCATCTGCTCCAAGCACTGGGGAAACCCAGCTGCTTGGGATTTGCAAAGGTTACAAAAACCTGTGCACTATTAGAGTAAAAGGAGCAAAAAGTACCGGCTCGAACAGTAGCTGTGAAGCATAATGACACCAATAGGCAAGGCTGCAGTGTTTTTACTTTGAGAATAATTAACAGCTCCTTATTTCCCAACTTCAGACAATGAAAGACAGGTTGTTGGAGGAAACAGATTGAGATGATCATCATCCTTAACTGTGGCACTTGGCTCTGCAGAGCATAAATGTAACTGGAGCACACACCAGCATGTCTGTTAATATTTCGGTCAGCGTGTATTTTATCTTTGAATCTCATCTTTAGAAACCAAGGGGTCAGTATGTGAATCTCACATATTTTAATCTTGTTTCAGAATGACCTTGCTGTGCAAAAAAAGAAAATTGAAGAAGTTGAGACCTGGTTAAAAATGCACATATTTCAGAGGCAGCCAAAGCAGGTAAACATGCTAAAATGAGCAGCCAGAGGTATCAAACCATACAAATGAGCTGGATACAATTCCAAGTTCAGAGAAAGTGAACTGAGAGGTGGTGATTGTGTATTGTTGTAAGAAATCTGGTAAGAACACAGATTAGAGCTTGTTCTTTTGCTTTGGGCCTGTGCTGGTAAGAGATGGATTCTGATTTTGGTCAGAAATATTATTTTCTGGCATCCAGTCATAAATCAAAACTCTTCAATGTGCTTGAAACCTCGGGGTAATTTTTAGGTCTCTTGGCAAGTGTCCAGTTGCACTGGGTTGGTGTACCAGGATGTTTTTAGTTTGGATGGATAGGAGGTGCTCTTGTACAGAGGCATAAATTGCCAGTCCTGACCAACTAACTGGGGGCTTTCAGAACAGAACAGGGCTCTCAGATCCTGGCCTGGCTCTCTCTGCCTGAATACTCAGCAAGTAAATCACCAACACAAAATATGTGACTTGGGTTTCATTGGGAAAGAGAATCATTGCCAGAGAAACTATAGAGGAAATTCAACGATATTTATCTCCAGCCAACTGTCATTATTTATCGATCACATTTGGAATTATTTCTGTCCTTCTGTGTCAGGGTGGCTCTGTTTTGCTGCTGACTGGTCCCCCTGGCTGTGGGAAAACTGCAACTCTGCAAATTCTGGCCAAAGATCTTGGCCTTCAGGTGCAAGAGTGGACCAATCCCCTGTCTTTAGACTTTACAAAGGAAGAGTTAAGAAACATGTTTGGCCATGGTAAGTATTTTGTGTTTTTTCCCTTTTCTTTTGTGTTCCATTTACTTTTGTGGTTTTCATATATACCGTATTTTTGCTAATTTTGTCTCTGTCACATATGAAATCAGATCCGTGTAAATCCATTCCCTGGAGTATAATAAAAATTGTTCTGTTGCTTTTATCTGGAAAGGGATTTAGGTTTTTTACAGTGTTTACTCCAGAATAACTGACAATTCAGAACAGTACAGACAGCTCTGTAATAGCCTGGATATCACTTGAACCAATTAAATAAGAACAGGTAAATGCCTTTATTGGGGTCCTCACTTAAATTATACCCTTTAAAAATTCTCCTGTATTTGTTTGCCAAAGGGCTTTTTCAGTAGTGCTGTCAGAAAATAGTGTGGGTGGGTATTAGTTCTTGTGGGTATTTTATTCTACTTGGTGTAATATAGAATACATATTTTTAATTAGTTTTCTCTTTCAGACTCCAGTTTTCATACATTCCCGAGCCAGGCCCAAGCAGCTCTCTTTCAAGATTTTCTATTAAGAGCAAATAAGTATAACAAGCTTCAGATGCTTGGGGAGTCCTCAGGAAGTGATAGAAGGCTTATTCTTATTGAAGTAAGTGAAAACTTGTGGGTTACTGGGTTGGAAACAGTAGCTGATGTTGTAACACTGACATGCTCATGAGCTCCAGCTGGTGGACTGGTGTTTCCCAAAGTTCATCAGCTTTAGGGCAGATGAGGTCTTTATTATTCTCTGAGTCTCTACAGCAGCTGAGAATCACATTCTACTTGTAGGTGAGCCATATAACCAAGAGTCAGGAATTGGAGTCTGGTTTGAGTACAGCAATGAGTAACAGAGGATCAAGAGAGAGATCAACACAACACTGGAAGTTGTTCCTATGTTTGATTATCTGTCTAGAGCTATCTCTGTGTGTAAAAAGGAAGAGTGGGGAAAAATCCCATTATTGCTGTTCCTTAAGGATGCAGGAGAGTGTAGGAGGCAGATGAGGATGAACACAATCAGAAACATTTGCGATTTTGCACTCAGTCCCTGGCCTTCATGGCGTGTTGTTTAGGTCAGAGGTGTGGACTAAGGGGTTCGGGGCAGGTACAGGACAAGACTTTATCTGTACTTGCTCAGGAATGTATTTCAATAACAATTTTTTTCTGACCCTTTTTTCTGGGACAAATTTTAGAAATTGATAGTCAAGTTGTCTGTAAACTTACAAGACAAAAAAGGCAAAAATTCTAGGTGGGTGCTGTAGATTTAAGGAGTGTTGTGGACTTGTCTTCACAAAGCCATCTTCTTGTGTAAGTCCTGTCACACCTCATGTGGTATATGGTGCCCTCTTCCCCAGCAGAGCTGCCTGGAGTGCTTGTCTCTGTCAGGCAGGCACTGTGATCACCCAGGGCTGTTTCTTAGGAAGCAGAGACAGAAAGAAAGCATTTATTTTTAGGTAAGTTTTTTCTGTAATG